AGGTCAAATATACCACATCCACCATTACAGTGAAATCTAGGTCAATATACCACAGTCCACCATTACAGTGAAATCTAGGTCAATATACCACAAGTCCACCATAACAGTGGAATCTAGGTCAATATACCACAGATCCACCATAACAGTGAAATCTAAGTCAATATACCACAGGTCCACCATTACAGTGAAATCGAGGTAAATATATCACAAGTCCACCATAACAGTGTAATCTAGGTCAATATACCACAGATCCAACATAACAGTGAAATCTAAGTCAATATACCACAGGTCCACCATAACAGTGAAATCTAAGTCAATATACCACAGGTCCACCATAACAGTGGAATCTAGGTCAATATACCACAAGTCCACCATTACAGTGTAATCTAGGTCCAAAATTCTTTGATCTAAAAGCATCATGGGCCAAGTCGATACCTCCAATCAATTCAATTCTTACAATTTATCATGGTTATAAAAATCCACTCCTTACCCAGGCATTACTGAATTGATGAGTTCCAATAATATGTGTACTTTCTCTCATATCTTCACCAGGACCAAACGCAACACAGTTTTCAGTCTGTAATTAATTATAGTAAACAATCACCAAATGTATATTTACTTAATTGCCCACTAACAGTATTTATTAGTAAATTTGACCCAAACTAAAATTTATAAATGTCATGTTTGTCATATTTTCATTATCACAAGTTCATACCATCAGAATATCAAATCGAAAGAAATTTGGGTAACCAGACAATTTTTTGAGATACAAAAGACAAATATATCATGGTCAATGGTCCAAATTTCTACACTAGTTTCAGATTATTTATTATATCTCAAAATTGTTATTGATATGAAATCTAACATCGTGAATTCATTCCAAAGAATTTACATATAATTCTAGTGAGTTTCCCGGATGATACTAGTTTTTCATACAATGGGAGGTTATCTCCTATAATGCATTGCAAATATGTGCAGTAACATGCTCAGTAGTGTAAAATACTTAATATTTTTTACTTGGAATTAATTTTCACTGAAGGCACAATTCAGTGAAAATAAAATCCAGTGAATATACATTTTTTCCTATATTTTACATTCAACTCGTCAAAAATCAGTGAAAATATATTCTATAACAAAACACACAAAATATCTTTTTTTCAGCAAAAATTGATTCCAGCTAAAATAAAGTATTTTACAGTAGATTTGTCTACTTTTTGATTTAGTGTTTAAAATGTTGTATCTATTGTAGATCCATCATTTGCTTATCTAGCTGGTATTGCAGGTCTATATTTATCTATTGTAGATCTATTGGTTTTGTTAAATAATGTATCAGATGATAGTTCATCTATTTCTATATATAGCACCTCTATTGTAGATTTACAGTTTTCTACAGACTGTGGAACAAGTCAGTAGCTAACATAAATTCAAACAAATAAGACTGGCACCTTTCCGTTGCATGTACTTGTTTCCACATCGCAAGGTAACCCTGTATCTAAACAATGTGGTCCTTTGGTATTAGGCGAGACATCTCCCTCGCTGGTCTGAGCGAATGCAGCTACAAAAGAACCCTGTAAATAGGACAATTAATTAACACACTGAAATTAATTCATTTTTAACGATAACTGGCCATAATTACAATTATAATTGCAGCTGAGATGTTAGGTGATGAATGAGGTAGTCGGACATGAAATTATAGAATAACAAAGAATTTTTATGAAAGGATTTGTTATGCTATTCCACTTGAACTTTCTTTGAGAGGATGCAACATGACATGCTTCTTTGGTGACACAAAACTGTTTTAAGAAGTACACATTAATGTAGCCGAAATACCAGGTTAATTATGGTCACAAGTGACATTCTGACATCATATGTTGGATAGAAATCAATAAATTATCATATTAAAAAAGAAAACATGCTAAAAACCAAAACAAAAAATGTATTTCCACCAATCATGGCTGCAAAAGGAAATGTGAACTTACAAAACAAACAAGTCACGTGTGGTCACATTCTGACACTGAATGGCTATATTACCAGGTAAAGTATTAAATATTCTTTCAAAATAATTATTATACAATCTCATTGTAGTCTTGCTCAGAAAAAGTTATAACTGAATTTCAGAAAAATAAATCAACAGCTCGGCACTTGAATTTCTGACAGTGATATCTGACAATTCAAAACTACTTTTGGCAAAGTTTACCCTGATCAAATTATACTCATAAATAACTGCACAAATGTCAATCTTCATATTCAGGTTCACAAGATATCAATAATAAAGCTACTGCATGTACATATGTCCCACATAAGGTACTAGGCACATGCAAAGAATGAACAGAATCTGTCCAAAGGATTCTGAAATATGACAGACGGACACGTACGCATGCACAGACGAAGATTGAATTATATGTCCCCGTTTCCCAACGGGGACTAATTATGCCTGTCTGGTCCAAAATTAATGAAGAAATTATCAAAAAATAAATGAACAAGATGTTTGTCCAACAATTTGGCGGGGAATATGATGGAATTCAAATGGTTTTCCTCATGGGGAGGGGGTGGGGCTATGCATCCATACTTAATCAAGACATTGTGAGATATTTAGTCACTGTCAATTGCTCTCAACAACATCTGCACACCAATGTGTGTATTTCTCACCTGTCCAGGTCTGGTATTGGGATTCAATAACTGTTCAAACATATATGAAGCATAACCTTTGTTGTCTCCGCTGATTAAATGGTTTGTGTTGTTCATACTGGTGCCGTGAACTGAAAACCAGCTGTCAAAAATAAAGATATTAACATATAAATGTTTCATGAATATGGATGAACTGATAACCGCGGCTATCACTTGGCAAAAAAACTTAAATATAGTGACACTTTCTCTATAAGCATGCAGATTTAGAAAGTGGATGGGTTTTAACTTTCTCACCACTAGACTTTCTCGCCCAAATTTTTCTGCACTTTTTCTTAATTTTTCAATATTTCGGGAACCCCAATATAGGAGCCAACAGACAAAATTTTAGTAAATTTTTACTCAAAATATTTGGCTATTTTTGTACCAATCTTCTGTAAGAAAGTGCAGACTATAAACTGAACTATTTTGTGAATTTGTGATGAAAAGAGGAAACTGGTGATGAAAACGTTAATACATGGCCATCACTGAGATGCAAGTCATAGGTTTACAATTTTTGCAAACCAACACATGAATATCTGATAACAATGTCGCTCCATTATCACCACTAACTCACAATCTGCTGCAAAGCAGTTACAAATAAGTAATTTGTTAACGAACATAAATGAATATTTACAGCAGCAAACAATGCCATTATTTTATCTTCAGTTGTGAACAACTTGTATTCACCAACCACCAATGCAGTCACTGCTCATACACAAAACATAAACAAGTGTGACAGCCGCTGAGGATGGAAACATGATGACATGACTATCACTCTATGATGAATGATGACAGGGGTTTTTCTAGAAAATAACTGCAAGAGGAAGCACTGCAATTCAGGGCCAAAATCACTATCAGACAGGACACAGTTGAAGACAGTGGCCACAAAAATTGTGATCCCTGGTCAATCAGAATTTTATGGTTGCCAGAGGATCTGCTCCCCACGGTAAGGGGGCGCATGGACATGGCATGAGGGCGCTGCGCCCCTGTTACCTTGTTCAAAAAATTCCCTGGATGATGATTAGAACAAAAGCACTTTCAAGTCAAATAAATATTCTTAATAAAATGAAGAAATGTTACTTGATCATTCCTAAATCTTTGCCATCTGTACCAGCCATTTTGATCAGCACCATTTCCTTATCAACATTATATTGATACCTAAAAT